CCAATGCAAGTGTAACTTCCTGGTGGGTTTCGAGAGGTTTCCAAGCAGCGCCCGCCCTGCGCCTCGGCGCCCTAGAGCTCTTGCTTCGACGCCTGAGCTGCGGCGACCAAGGGGACTGCGGCGCGCGACGCGCTCTTTCTCGTCGAGATGGCGCCGCGGTCTGCAGGCCCCGCGCGCGCGCCCCCCCCCCGGCGCGCCCCGCCTCGCGCGCGGAGCTCTGAACTCGAGCTCAGGCAGCCGCGCTGCAGTCCAACGGTGCTGCGCCGCCGCGCAGCGTAACGTTGCCTCTCTGGTCGGGGGGGTCGCCGCGGGCCCCGCGCTTTCCCCGCGCCTCGCCGCGCCGCTCTCGCCCCGCGCGCGGACGTCCTGAGCCCGAGGGCTGGCGGCCGAGCTGCGGCGCAGATCTGCGACCCCCCGAAGCAGCGGCGCTGCAGATGAGCGCTGGTTTCTGGTCGGGGCCTCGCTGGCGGCGCGCCCCCCATCGACCCCCCCAGACCTGCTCGTCTCACGCGCGCGGGGGCGAGCCCGAGGTCGGACGGCCGAGCTGCGGCGCAGAGATGAGATGCTGCGCAAAAGGGCACGAGCGCGCGCGCCGCGCAAGAAACTGCTCATTTGGTCGGCGCGAGGGCGCCGCGACCTTCGCACCCTCGCGGGAACTTTCCATCCCGCGCCCGTCTCGCGCGCGGGGGAATCCGAAGCCGCGCGGCGACTCTGCGGCGCGACCGGCGCATCATCTCGACAGCGCTCGCTTCCCGGTCGCGCCGAGGGCCGCGAGGGCTTCATCCCGCCCCGGGCGCCTCCGCGCCCGCCCCGTCCCGCGCGCGGAGCCCCGCTCTCGAGATCGAGCGTCCGAAGTGCACGTGCCAGTCTTGAGTTTCTGACGCTCGGCGCCCCGCCGTGCGCTACGTGGCTAAGAATTATTTGATTATTAGTGTTCATGTTATGCTTTTTCGTCGTGTCGTGGACGTTCTTCTTCGGCGCCCTCTTCGCTGCCGCCAGGTATTTTTCGCTCAGCAATCACGCGGGGCAGACTGCGCGAGGGGCTATCCTGACTGGACAATGCATAACCTTTTTGATGCCACCATCGCGTAGATTTGGGAGGAGTGGGAGTTGAGATGGAGCACGGTAGGCGTGGGCCGGGGGCTGTGCGTGAGTCAGGTTGACTGCGCTTGGGCGCAGGGTGAGGTTAAAAGCGGGTTCTGAGCAGGGCAGGATTGGAGTCGGCGTAGAAATGCCATATAGACAATCACCTGTTCTTATATACGAGAGAGGGGGCTTGCACGTGCCGCTGTAGTAGGGTAGAATAATAATAAAAAAAAAGTCGGCGCGTGATGGGGCGGAGTACGACTGGCCATATATGCATCAAAGCTCACAGGCGCAGCGAACTCAGTTCCTGTCCATCCGATCGGCAAGGTGGTTGCGCGGATCGCGCGGAGCCCAGTGTGGGGCGCGTTCGACCAGGGCGGAACAATGCGCCTACTTGCGCACGCGCTCGCGTCTGTATACATATATTCAGATTCGCAGATCGGTGGGCCCTGCGCGTGCGTAGTGTAGCAGGGCCGAGAGTCTGCGGCGCGCCCCAGTCGTCGCCGGCGCCGTCGGTGCGTCCACAGCGCAGACAGGCACCGTCGCCAGCGCAGCAGTAGCACCTCGGATGCCCACAGCGAGCGCCCGACACAGCCCGCGAGTTTTCAGCGCACTCCAGCGCAGGATGTCGCGCCCTCGCCGACCGCGCAAAGTACCCCACTTCAGGATTGCATGCGCAATGCGAGCGCAACGCGCTCCAACGCAGATTGCACGCGCTCGAGAGATGCCCCCAGCATGTTCGGCACTTACCCAATAAGGGCACCCCAGCACCGTTTGCGACATTCCAGAATATACCACATACTCCCCAGCGCCATCTTCGAAATGTCAAAATACTCCAAAGATGCTCCAGTTCCATCTGCGAAATTCTAAGATTCCCCAAAGGAGTTCCAATGCCATTCGCGAATTTTTGAAATGCTCCAAAAACGCGCCAGCGTAATTTGCGAATTTTGAGAATACTCCAAAGATATGCCCCTGCCATTTGCGATATTTCCAAATGCCCCAGATGCCCCCGCGGCGACCTCTGAAATTCTATGCCGCAGGAGACACTCACCGACCATTTGCGAAGCATCAAAACACCCCAGGACGCAGCGCATTACCATCTTCGACAGTTCCAAGTCTTCCAGGAGATGCAACCGCATGTTCTCCGAAAAGCATTGCCTTAGGGTGTCCCCCGTGGCTTTTCCTCGAGACCGCGAAAATTTCGTTGCAATGCCCCCCCCCCATCGCCCGGCGTCGCGCCGTTGCGGCGTGCGATGCAGCGGGCTCGCTATCAGTCCAGATGCCCCGCGTCAGGATTGCCAAACGCGCGACGCGCACAGCTGATGCGGTGCCCACGTGGGCTGAACAGCGCGCTGCCATGTTGCCGAGCAAATGTCGTTCCGCGCCACAGAAGCGTCGCGGCCTCATTCCGCGTGCCCGATCCCGCTGGGGGAATGGCTCCCAACGCGCGTGCGCGTCAAACGCGCGATGCGCCCTGCGCGCGCCGCGCAGCTTCCAGACGGCAAAAGGCCATGACTTCTGCATCAATGTGTGGATCCAGTTTCCCCGCGCACCCGCCCTCGCCTCTATTGACAAGCGTTTGCAACTTGGGACGGTGGTGGGGGAGGGCGCGGGGGAGGGGGGCGGGTCGATCGGTCGATCTGAGGAATGATCGATCTACCGATCAATAAAATGATGAGATTGCGGCGTTCCGCTAGCCCCCGCGGACGCTCATTTTTGTCTTGCGGCGCCTCTCGATTTCCATCTGCGCGCTTTGCGATCGGAGGTTGCCTTGGAATCGTTCGTCGACGCGTTTGGATTGGCAGTTTTCTGGCGGCTTCCCTCGCGCGCCCTCAGGGCGCATGCCGCGTCTGTCGCTTGTCCTCGAGGTGAGCCCAGTGGCAGCTGACCCCGTTGAGTCGGCCGAATGCGCGGCGGGGTCGGTTCGCTCTCGCGCGAACGCGAAGCCACTGAATGTGCATCGAGTTTCTTTCGTGGCGAGGTAAACACGACCATGGTTTACGCGGCGTTGAAGAGGCGCCCCCTGTGTCTGGCGCGCAGGGCGCTGTGCATTTTGCGCGCGCCGAAACACGCAAGGGCGGAATCGCGTAAACCAGGCCTTCCCCCCTGCAGGGTCGTAGCTTTGCCAAATTCTGTTTGGGGCATTCCCCGAGCACGTTTAAAAAGTGGTTTTGATACACAGCGGAAGCGCATGGTTTGACTATCTTGAATATTTATTTCAAAAGTCGTTTGTGAGAGGACATGCCCGACGAGAGACGAGTTTCCGCGTGCGCGCCGTCTAGACAGTTCCGATAGCCTTGCTCATGCGACCGCAGTTCTTATGTTGGCAGGGTGTGCAGTACTTGCTCATTGAGGGTGCCGTTTCGGCGCCGTCGTGTGCCTCTTGGTGCTCGTTGTACGCGGATGGCGCTTGTGAGTGTCGCGATGTTTCTATTGCCGCTGAGATTCAGAGGATTGTTGTGTTTCCACTGCGCGATGTGCATGTGCATGTCAAGGTGTACATTGACCAGCGCACGTTTCGGAAAGAGTACCCAGGCATCATATCGCCTAAGTATTACGATTGCGGTTCGATCCTACCAACATGATTCAGGATTAGTTGTGGATCAGATCGGCGACTTCGCAGGGCTTGGACATCAAGGACATGCGTCACGGAAACATTGTATTCGGCGTTTTCGCCATGGTCGAGTTGCTCGAATGAAATTGCAATGGTGATTAAATTTGAATGTTGAGCGGCCAAAGAAAGGACAGAGGTGTCGCTCCTCATCGCGCTCGATCGCTAAACGCTGATAGGTTCATGCGTCAATGCTGGACTGATGGACTTGCTGGACCACGCGCAACAGTCAGCCAGGTTTCAGCGGTTCACTCCTCGGACACTGTTCATAGTATGTTGATGTCGTCTCCTGGAGAAGTTGCACGCGTCTACTTGTGGCTACGATGCCGCAGATTCGGTTTTGAAACTGTCTGCCCTCAGAGAGCGCTCGATGAAATGGACCCCAGGCTGCGCAGTTTCCTTCTGGATTTGTTCACGCGATCTTCGCACGCTGCCATGGCCACGCGGTTTGGGGCCAGGACCCGGTGGTGCCATGGGCCGTTGTTCATCAGTGTTCGGGGGGTGCTTAAGGGGCACCCCGGTTTCCTTCATGGAGCCCACCCTGGTGCGTTTCCACACCGCCGTGGTCGAACCTGGTTTCGTTGAGTGAGGCGTGCGTGCGCGCCATTGGTCTAGCCACTTAGTCGTTCAATACGGCCATCAAGGCCATATTATTGTTTCATGGTTCTGTTTGTCCATGCTTTTGGCCAAGTTATGCTTACAAGCCTTAAGGTTAATCATTGTGTAACTATGGGCAGATGTGGTGGACGTCGTGATTGTGAAACGTCCTCAGACTTCGATAATTAAGGCATTACTTGTTTTATGGTATACGCCATGTTGCGGGGCACCAAGGATGGATCATGCGTTCCACCGCGCCCTTGCTGGCTGGACTGGTCGTCAGAGAAGGAAGAGCACAAGTGGCTAAAATGCAGCTGCGTCATTCCCACCTCGATTCGTTCAGATAATATGTGTATATCTATATATTGCGAATGTGTTGTGCTCCTTCCAGCATCCCATGTAAAGAGTCACGCCTGCTGCGCCAGGTGTCCTATTTGCCACCCCCAACCCGTGCTCATCAAGGACATGTTATCGGTTGAGTGTTTGCGTGTGTGTATTGTATTATTGGTTTCAGGATACAGGTTATCATCATCAGCCTCGTCCTTTTGCTCCTCCCTTCCCCAACGCCTTCCCCACACATCCCCCGCCGCCATGTTTTCCGTTTCCCCTCTCCCTTCCCTTTCCGCCCGTTCGCATCACGCCCGCTCCGTCATTCCCTCTTCTGCACCTATCCTGAATATGAACTCGTTGGCGCAGCCGCAACCAGGATCTTGGTGACTTATGTGATTATCGTCCCGGCCGTCAACCAGGAAGAAGCAGCGTCGTCATCCAGCTCAATTGCTGCGTCCATAGTATCAGCATCGCAGGATGGTTTGAGTGAGAGAATTACGCAGGCAGTGTCCGAGGTCATGGGTATAGATTTCGAAGTTGTGGTCGAGACAATCGAAGAACCCACCGCTGGAACCGTGATGCAGGTCTCCCTGCACTCGACGATCACGACTTCGAGCAGTAGTCCAGAGGCTTTACGAAGCAGACTGAGCTCCTCCGCCCGCTCGGGTATGCTCGGTATTGGCAAGGCGTTTGCTGTCTTGGTCACGCTGGCTGTCGCCTCGGCGTGCTGAAGACAACGCCCGACAAAAGGGTCCTTTACCCCCTCGCAACCGTTTTTTTATCCGCCTGTGCGCCGGCTCACTCGCAGCCGAGTTGCGCTGCGGGCTCTTCTCCAGAGACGTGCAGTGCTGAATGCAGCCTCGAAAACGCGAGATGTCAGACCACGTGGGATCGAAGGAGGCTGGAGGAAGAAGAGGGAGTACGAGCCAGGGCCACGCGGCATGATCAAACGCATGGAGTTTACTTGATCTGCCGGAGAGCAGCCAGAATTGGAGGCCATCTTTCGGCTGACATAGTTGCAATTTGTCTGACTGTGCCTTGAAGTGGTTTTGATTGAGAGGCACTGCCGATTTGGGGAATCAGTGGATGGGGCCAGGGGCAGCTGTGTCCTGCCGTTGCTTTCGCAACCCGCTGGTACCACTAGCTGCGAACAAGCTTCACAAGGCAAGCTTGGCACACCGCACTCATCTTGACACGCTTCCTTGTAGTGGAAGACGCCTCCGGCGAGTAGCCGCCGCCACGTGTGTCCCGAAGAGCCACGCACCCCGTCTTGCAACTTGATTGGGGCTTCTTAGTCAGTCTCGCATGCCCTTTTCTGATCCGTTGAGGGGCCTCGTGGCACCTGGGACGGCGATGGTATGGCGAAGATCATGAATGCACCTGCAAGACCACTCTCCCACGGGTGAAGAGGAAGTCTGGGTGCGTGGGTGCAGAGTTTGGGTAGCGAGCTGTACACGTTTCTGGCTGTTCGATATCTTTCACTCTTGCACTTGACGTACCCGATGTTTCTACGGATTCTTTATCACTAGCCTAGCTCCCCTTATTCCTTAAATTGGTATGGCGATTATAACGCCTATCTCGAACAAGTCTATCGTAGCATGCGTTGTTGTTCAGACTCTTCAAGGCCAGTGCGAACGTATCACAACAAACATCGCACGTCGCAGTTCGCGTGACGCGTCTGGATTTACACAACTGTCCTAACATATCTTCTAGTCAAGTGGCTCACGCCATCCCCCCGACCCCTAGTGGAGCAGAGACATCCAGGGCGTTCGGTAGGCGATATAGGAGCTCGAGTGACTGGTTGTTTTTTCCCGCTCGCGAGGGGCATTGGGTTGTGGTTGGGTTTCGGGGGCTTATTGGGGGCCTTTTGGGTGCCTCTTGAGGGCGTCTTGGAGGCCTCTTGGGAGCCTCTTGGGAGCGCCTCGGGGGTCATTGGGGGGCTTTGGGGCCATGAGGGAGGAAAGGCTCGAGATATCTGTTCGTACTGCTCCTCTTGGCCTGTTCTTGGGGCGCGTGGGCCGTCTTAGGGGCCACTGTTGCCGTCTTGGGCTCCCTTGTGCCCTCTTGGGGCTGCATGGAGCCGTCTTCGGGGTGTGAATGTTTGTTTCTTATACATATATATATATATATATCTCAAGGGGGTGGGACGATGTTTGCGTCTTGTGGCCCTCTCAGCGGTCCTCTGGGAGCACTCGTGGGCCGTGCTGGGGGGCTTCCGGAGGTGTCTTGACGCCGTCTTGGGCCGCCGCGGGGTTACGTTTTGGCCCGTCTCGGCGCTTCCCAGGACTGCCAGCGCCCTGTTCGGGCGGCCACTCCGGGGCCGTGTTGGGTGGAGAGTCCCCGGGGTAGGTTGAGGAGCTCGCCCCCTTCCCCCCTCGGTGTCTTGACGCCGTCTTGGGCCGTCGCGGGGTTACGTTTTGGCCCGTCTCGGCGCTTCCCAGGCCTGCCAGCGCCCTGTTTCGGGCGGCCACTCCGGGGCCGTGCTGGGTGGAGAGTCCCCGGGGCAGGTTGAGGAGCTCGCCCCCTTCCCCCCTCGAGGGTCGCAGGGAGGAGGGGGAGGAGGAGGAGGAGGAGGAGGAGGAGGAGGAGGGGAGAGGGGGGGAGGGGGAGGGGGAGGAGGAGGGGAAGGAGGAGGAGGGGAGGAGGAGGAGGAGGAGGAGGAGGAGGAGGGAGGAGGAGGGAGGAGGAGGAGGAGGAGGAGGAGGAGGAGGAGGAGGAGGAGAGAGGAGGAGGAGGAGGAGGAGGAGGAGGGGGAGGAGGAGGAGGAGGAGGAGGAGGAGGAGGAGGAGGAGGGGGATGATGGAGGAGGGACAGCCTAATGTCTCACACGCCTGTTCACCCCTGGCAAGCGGGGGTCGGCGGATTCTTCTGGTTCTAGCCCGCTCAACCGTTCGAACTCTTCGAGACCAGACAGCCGAGCAGGACCCAACCATTCACGTCGCGCTGTCACCCAGTCCAGTCAGGTTTTCTCACTGGGGCATGTTCGGAACAGCTGAGACCAGGTCATTCAGTCCAGCAGGGTGAAGTTCATTTCAGGCCCAGCTCGTTCCAGCGCGCTTCATTTCAGCCCAGCCAACAGCATTCCATACCAGTCTAACTCAGGCCAACTCGTCCCAGCTCAGTCCAGCTCAGCCGAACAGATTTCGTGACAGGCAGGTTGAGTCCAGGTCAGTCCTGCTCAAACTGAATTGAATCGGTTTCATACGTGCGCATCCCACCTCAGACGAGTTCAGGCCAGCCCACTATTTCGCCTCGCTTCTGAAACTGATTCGCTCTGGCCCACCGCATGCCAGCTCAACGCGGTCCTGTTCAGCCCAGCTCAGGCAGTCTTGGTGGGTGCCCTTCAGTTCAGGCCAACGCATTCACGTCTAGCGCAGCCCATGACAGCCCATCTCATGTCAAGCAAAGTCCGTCCAGCTTGTTCCATCGCAGCCCCCGCTCCTGCGCAGTGCATCTCGGCCAGCCCAGCTCGGCCTCGTGGGGTTTAGGCAGCACTGGGCTGTTCAACAGCCTGCCAGTACCAACCCGCTCCGGATTCACCTCGAAGGCTACCATGCGGGGCCTTCACTCGATCTGTGGATCAGGGAGGCATTTCGCATGCTCTTTGGGATGCTGGGAAGGCCGAGGTGCCCTGGAGGCCTTCCCTCCAGGATGCCTTGGAAGGTCCTGGGAAGACCGTGGGAAGCCCCGAGAGGCCCTGGGAGTCCCCGTCTCCTCTGGAGGCCAAGGGAAGCCATAGGCCAGCAGACCCTAGTCTGCTGAAGCTGGAATGATCCCTCCTGGCCCTCAGGTCTTGTGCTAGAAGCACCAGGTCACCACGGATACCAGCTCGCGCGACACGGGAAGTGCACCGCACATCCGTGAGGACGAACTTGCAGGCCGCATTCGCATACAAAGCCGGCGTGATATACAGCCAAGCTTGTGCTTCACATCGGCTTGGCCCCAGATGCCGGGGCCGCGGATGTATTTGTGTTTGTTGCTTGGCGACTGATGAGCAGCACGAGATGGAGGGCGTTTCTCCTCGTCTGGCGCAAAGTCCTCTGGGACATGCTGTTGCATGCCTCTTGTATTCAGGGTGGGTGTCGAAGCGGGGACATGCTCTAGAGGTATAGCGTTCTCTCGAAAACACACATCGACGAGTTGCACGGTTCAGTCTATTTTATGCGAGGATGTCGCATGTCGAGTTCGCTTTCCATTTCAGATCGCTGCCATGACTACATCTTGTCGTCGCCTGCGCAATCCGAATTTAGTGGTGCATGTGTGAGATTTCTCTATGCTTGCAGCCTTTGGCCTTTGCTGCAGGCGCCTCGTGTGTTGTACAGGCTCAGACTCACAATCCTTAACAGGCGCCATCGCTGCAGGTGCCCCGTACTTTGTACAGACTTCCAACCAAGCCTTTGCTGGTATCCCCGCTGCGGGCGCTTCGTGTTTGGTACTGGTGCCCTGCTGCGTGTGTGTTTGCTGCGTGCACGGGCGAGCAATCGTCCTTGCATTGATGAGCGGCGGTTTTTGCGCCACGGTGGGATTTGATTGCATTCCCCGCGCATTCTGTCTGCGCAGACCGTGGCAGCGCGTATCTACGGATCGATGATTCTTCCGACTTCGGCAGTGAAAGCTGCATAGGCCGTGGGCCGCGCGATCTCGGAGTCCGACCCATTTCCTTCGCGAGGCTGCTCGCGAGGCCGATGAAAAGTGCGGGTCCTTCAGGATGCTGCTCTTCCTTCCTCTCCGTCTCCTCTTCTTCATCCTCATGCCTTCCTTGTGCGCTCCCAGCCTTCGCCGCCTCCGCAGACGCGTTCGATCTCCTCAGATCTCATTGCCTCCCCTCTCGTCTTCTACATCGTCCTCGCTGTGGGCTCCTTATACGTGCTTCCCAGACATTCTTCCATGCAGGCCTGAGGACCATACGCCATCCGTTAAACTCAACAACCTTCGCCTTCGCCAGTCGTGCAGCGTTCTGTAGCCACTGCCGCGGATAAAAGCATCGCCTTCCCAGCTTGCAACCCTAACACGGTCATCAATGCACGGGTCTAGGGCCACATCAGAACAGCAATATTGACCCGCACTTGTGCCCCTAACGTTTTGAGCCTGGCATCCGTAGTCTCCTAATCGCGCTGACCTTGAGCGTTTCTTGCTTCTTGGCCACTTGGTTCTGTGTTAGAGTTTGTGGTCGCCGGAGTGAGGTCCTCTCCATCGGGTCCTGTCCACCAGGTGCATTCGAGTCCGAGCCTTACCGGAGTTCGCGTGAATTGCGGTTGTGACGCGCAGAACACGTCACACGATTCACCATTACATCCCTATTTTATTTTGTGTTCGCGCAGCGATCGCACTCACGGTGCCATTACACTCGAACATTGTCCGAGCTGCATCACAGCTTTTGCAGACACTCGGGCCGAACGAAATGGGGGTTACGAAACCTGCTGCATGCAGCTGGTTTCGGCCCCGCCGCCGGGCCCATTCCTCGATACATGGGCGTTTCCCGGCGCCGGGAGGCGCTGGGAAAATCAGCTACACGAGCTGATTCTCTACCCTACCCTTTGCTACCCCCCGCTTTCGTTCCCCCCGAGACACGGAACTGCACGCTAGCAGTGATGTGCGGGCGGAGGTGGATCCACGGTCATCTTGCTTCGTCGTGCCTTGCAGCGCAGCACGACGGCCCCGCACTGATGGCACGAGTACGATCTGTTGCTTTTGGCACGCGGCGACATAGCAAGCTGGAGTGATGAAGCCAATTTCGAAGAGTAGACTTAAGTCGGGCCTGTCCCTCTCTACAGGACGAATATTCGACAAAAGTCAAAAATAGTCTCGGGACGACCTTTTGATTACTTTTGACTTGTTTGGAGCATGTTCTGACTGTTATAATTTTTCCTCGAAAGCCCGCCTAGAGGGGGACAAGCCCGACCTAAGAGTAGACGCTGTTGCAGTTGGGACGGCCATACCTTCCTCATTGGACCTTTCCTTCCCCGCTCCCTTCGATTTATCGGCTTCCAGCCTACACCTGCCGAGCACTCCGACCTCCAGCCTCCAGAATTCGATTTGTCATGTTCACCCCCTACCTTTTGAACCACAAGCTTCCACTAGCTGAGCACTCCGACAACCAGCCTCCAACAGCCGACGTCCCACTCTCACCCCCCCTTTCGACCTCCAACCTTCACCTACATAGCACTACGAGCTCCAGCCTCCAGCGTCCGACCTTTCATTCCCATTCCCATCTCCACCCATCGAGACCCAGACTCGACCAGATCAACACCCCGACATCCAGCCTCCAGCATCCGACTTTCCACACTACCTCGACATCGACCACCAGTCGCCCACGACGACTCCTGAGGGCTCCAGCAGCCCCCCCCCGCTTCGCCCTCATCTGGCCCGCCCCGCCTGACCGACACCGCGCGCTTCGCTTCGCTTCGCTACCTCCTTCCTCTGCCCACCCTTCATTCTTCCCTTCCGACTTCTTGTCCTCGGGCATCATTTCTCCAGCCGCTCCTTCACTTCTCTCTTTTTTTTTGTTTCTCTCTCTCTCTCTCTCTCTCTCTTTGACCCTCCTGACCTCCATGCCCTCCAATACACCAACACCCCTTCGAACTCTACTCCACTCCACTCCACTCTACTCCGCCACACACCTCCACACTGCTCCGCAATCGTCTACACTCAACTCCAATCTTCCCAACTCGTCCGCGCTCCTTTTCGCTCCCTTCCGCCGCTCCTCATGTCATTCACCCACCGCCTTGTCCCGCAATCCGTATCCTTCTTCCGCCGCTGCACATGGAACTGCCAGTGTTCCTCCGCACCCTTCCCCGCTCCTCTTTTTCATGTTGCTCCAGCTTCTGCACTGGTCCCCGCTCTACTCTGATCCGCCCCACTCCTGCGCATTTCTGTGCACTCCAGCCTAGTCCTCCCCATGTTTCACAGAGGGATTGCCTTCCCAGCTGCAGCGGGGATCCACGGCGAATTGATTTGCCACAGCTTATGGCCCACTAGTATCCCCATTATCGGCCCACCGTCCATTCGACCCACGAATAGTTTATTAATGGATCTGGCTCGCTAGTGACCCACTAACGGTTTTTTTTTATTCAATTGCAGCACATTGGTAATCATCGAATGTCTCACTTCATATGTCCCGCGCGTTGCCGTAACTGAGTTGGTAGTAAGATGAAGGTTTTTTGAGGCCCTTCATGAAATATCCCACCACCCCTTCCCTTTCCCACACTCGTCCGCACTTCTCCAGCAGCAGCAACCGCCTTCCCGACATGATATGGACCCATAACGGCTTTACGATTCGCAAGTTGTTCAGGATAGTATTGTTGTTTCGAACGCCCATGTGCTCGTTGGGGTTGGAGACATGTTGGTCGGGATGCTGAGCAGCACGACGGTGAGCAGTCGTGCGATCCAGAATTGCAGCAGTACGGCATTCTCATCCAAGGGCACGGTGGGTGCAGGAAAATGTTATTCTCTGTATGCCCTTTGCCTCTGCTCATGCCAGCCTGAAACCGAGCAGCGGGGCAAGGAGCAAATCAAGGAGGAGGAGGCGGAGGAGGGGTAGCAGCAGCAGCAGCTGCAGCAGGATTCTGATATTCACGAGTGGGGCGGGTCCTCTTACGAGCATCACCGCGTTGAGCGTTTGTCAAACGGGTCCGACGATAGTCTGAGTTCGTGAGCCCGCCCTTCCTGCCCCGCCCCCTCCCGAGATGATCAAACCGTGTCGTTCGTGCAGGTTCGCGGGGGAGGGGGGGGGGGAGGCAGGCTTGCGTTGTGGCGCCGCTCACAGGGACTAGTGCTCGTGGGCGTGGCGGTACTCACAGGCGCTGTGGTGCCGTTCCCGGACGCTCTGCTGAGGTGCTCGCGCGCGCTGTGGTGATGTTCGCAAGAGGTGTGGTCGTCACAGGCGCGGAGGGGTGCTCGCAGTCGCTGCGGTGCCAGCGCCCCGAGGTGAGCGTGAGCGCCGTCGTGCTCGCAGGCAGAGTGGTGGCCGCAAGTAGCGCGGCGCTCACAGTGGAATGCCTGGTGGACGAGCCAGAGCTTCCCATCGCAGTCGGTGTTCCTCGAACTGGCGGTCTGCACGAGCCCCGAAGCGGGAGGAGGGCACTGGAGGCCGCGGGAGTCAATGATTGGCCCCTTCTGCAAATAATAATGTGTATACTCCCGCCTAGCCTGGTCGCTCGGGTTTCGTGGGCTCAGAGAGTTGTAGCGATAAGCGTTTCTATCGTTGAATTTCCATTACTGAAGAATAGTTATTGTTGATCCCCCCTCCGGTGACCATTGTATTCTTTAAGTGAAGTGCTTCCCCCGGGGCTCGCACCCTGTATTTGATCAGGGGAAGTCACGGGGCTCAAACTGTGTTGTCGGCTCCTGGTTTACAACAGCAACAACAACAGCAACAACGACAACGGCTCCCGCATGATATTCCCTCACAACGTATTCCCAAAATCACGCTCTGGTACGGGACTTCCTCACAATTTGTATACGAATCGCGCTCACGCGTGGGACTTCTTCGCAGTTGATTCGGACGATGCGCCCTCGGCGCTCAGGAATCACGCTCTCGCTCTGGCTTTTCTTACGAGTTACTTGGGAATCGCGCTATCGCTCGAGACTTCCTCGCGATTCATGCAGGACCGACGCTTCAGCAACCCGCCTGCTCGACCTGGTCGCCTGGGCCCGCCTTCCCGACCTGCCCGCTATGGGTCTGTCCACCCGATCTGCCCGTCTGGTTCTACCACTTGTTTTCTGCTCCTTGCCCCCTCCTGCTACTTTCTCTCGTGCTTCATTCTTCTCCCTCCCCCATTCCACCCGTCTTCTCTTCCTTGTTTTCGGGGTTGCACTGAATGCACGTGGCAGGTAAGGAAGATAAACCCCCAGGGTTTACGATCGAAGACGACGAGGGCGGGTACCAAGGGCTTGGGGTAGACGTGTTGATTGGCACATCCGCAGATAGGAGCGAACAGTCTGAACATGATTGTTGTTGGTGTTGCTGTTGTTGTTACTGTTGTTGTTGTTGCTGTTGTTGTTGTTGTTGTTGTTGTTGTTTTTGTTGTTGTTGTTGTTGTTGTCGTTGGTGTTGTTGTTTTGATTGTTGCTCGTGTTGTTGTTGCTGTTATGTTCGATATTGCTGTTGTTGCTGTTGCTGTTGTTGTGATTGGTGGTGTTGCTGTTGGTGTTGTTGCTATTGTTGCAAGTGTTGCCGTCGTTGCTGTTGTTGTTGTTGTTGTTGGTTTGCGTGTTGTTGCTATTGTGTTGATGGTTGTTGTTGTCGTAGTTGTTGTTGTTGTTGTTGTTGTTGTTGTTGCTGTTATTGTTGTTGCTGTTGTTGTTGTTGTCGTCGCAGTTGCTGTTGTTGTTGATGATATGTTTGTTGTTGCGCAGAGTCTCCTGTCGCGCAGGATCACTGAGGCTCTTGTGCGAAGGGTAGTGTTCAGTCTGCCTCGCTGCGGGTGCTCACAGGCTTGCCGCTCCTGCTCCGGTCTCTTCTCTCTTTCCGCGTCTTGTGCCCTCTTTCTCTTTCGTTCTCGTCCTGGTCCTGCTTTTCCTCATCCTCCACGTACGGTAGGAGCTCGACCACAAGAAACCTTCCACAAGAAACCCAACCCTGAGACCCCAGGACGTCTACTGATTTTTGTGGCTGGAGCGTCACGCTCTCCATAGCAAAACCATCGAAACCCAAGAATCCAAGGGCACCCTGGAGGCAAGCAGGGTGTTTCTTGGCATGGGTATCCACTGTATCAGCGGGCGGGCGGGCGGCAGCAGAAGCAAGGGTGAGACCAGTCGCCGATTGAAGGTGGTGCCTGGTCGGTCCATTCACCAGCAAAAACATCGGGTGGTGTCCGAACTGGCCACTGTCAGCCCAAGAGGAGCGACTTGGTTTGGAGTCCCGTGGTCAGGTGCACCGGTGTTTTTTCCGAATCCAAGTCTTCGGTGTTCTGGCTCTGTCCGGAAGCCGTGCTCGACGACGTCCATCTAGATGCCCATAACGTGCGCTGGCACCCGCTCACATCCGGTTTCACATTCCGCTGCGCCAGAACTCACGCACGCAGTCGACACCGATTAGTGATCGCCGCACGTATGCAGAAGGCACGGCTAGTGCCGGCCGCCACCTCAAGCGATCGACCGCGCGGCGAGTCGGCACCGCGCGGTGCTGGCAGTCCCCCGGAGGCCCCCGCGCGCCCCGCGGGGGACCCTCCACGGCCCCACGAGCCGAGCGTGAGCCTCGCGGCAAGCTGCACGCGAGCCCCATGCGGGCCCTGCGGGAGCCCCGCGTGCGCCCCGCTCAGCCTCGCACGAGCTCCGCGCAAGCGTCACGCGACTCCCGCGGAGTTCCGCCCCGTCCTCCCCCCCCTCCCGTTACCCTCCCTCCCTCGCTCCCTCCTTCCCTCGCTCCTCCCTCCCTCCCTCCCCCCCTCGCTCCTCCTACCGCGCTCCCTCCGACGCTCGATCCCTCCTCCCTCCTCCCTCCCTCCACCACTTCCTCCCTTGCTCGCCCTCGCTCCCTCCCCGCCCCGCCCCGCTCGCCGACAAGGGGCCCCGTGCTCGCCTCCGCCTTCAGCAACCGCGGCTGCGACAACATCGCGGGGCAGATGCACGCTCTGGGGGTCGCCGCGCACCCCCCCTCCCGGCGGACGGGCGGAGATCCTGGGAGGAGACGGAAGAGGAAGCGGAGGCCGAGGCCGCGGCAGAGGCGGACGAGGACGACGCTGAGGGGGAATCGCCCGGTTGCCCGCAGGAGGAGGAGGAGGAGGCTCAGGATGAGGGTGGAGGAGGAGGAGGAGGGAGGAGGAGGAGGAGGAGGAGGAGGAGGAGGAGGAGGAGGAGGAGGAGGAGGAGGAGGAGGGTGAGGAGGAGGAGGAGGAGGAGGAGGAGGAGGAGGAGGCAAAGCCGGAGGAGGAGGAGGAGGAGGTATACACCGGGTTTGTAATATTCAGTATCATAGTTGACAGCATTTGGATATCAAGGTGTAGCAAACACTTCTTGTTTCAACGACTGTGTCCGGGTGCAGCGTAAGTCACCCTAAGAAATGTGAAGGGGCTGGCAGGTTGACTGACTGGCTGGCTGGCTGGAATATGTTCTGGGCCCTTCGTGCGAGACAGTCTCAAGCATCCGAGGCGCTGGTCGGTATGTTGGCTGGTTTGGTGGTTGGCTGGTTGGCTAGTTGGTTGGTTGGCTTGGTTGGCTGGCGTATTGACTGGTCTGTTGGTTGATTGGCTGGTTGGTGGGCAGGTTGTCTGATTGGTTGCTTGGTTGGTTGGTTGGTTGGGCTGGGTGGTCAGCTCGTTACTTGGCTGATTGGCTGAAGGGTTGGTTAGTTGATTAGTTGGTTGGCCGGTAGCCAGGTGGCCAAGTTCATGGCCCCTTCCAGCGCCCAGTGACCCATAACCAACGTAGCGGGCAGGGCTGACTAATGGATTCTCCATGATCGCCTCTAGTGAGACCATGTGGCAGGCAGGGGGAGTACACAAACGTCAGTCATAACCAGCGTGATGAGCCCCTGGGAGGGGGGGATCAAGAAATCCCATGAGAAACCGTGCAATACCCCTGGTGGCTGACAGCTCGGCATAAACACATTGTCCATTGTCCATTGGACATAACCACATCTCCTTTAGAACTTGTCGTGCACACCCCTGTGGCAGGCAGGGGCCAACCAAGCAACTCTAAATTCGATCTCGTGCTTCTTTTCCAATCAGGCAGGGAATATGCAAATATCGTGGAGATACCGTGGGAAAGCCCTTGTGGCAGGCAGGGGTCAATAAGCGCATGTCCTGTAGACCCCCTGCCCGAATCTGGATGTCCACCAAGGAGGGGATTAAGCGCATTTCCCTTGAAACTAGTGTGAGGACCCCTGCGGCACTACATACATCGTCCCTTGACCCCTGCGCGAACCCGTGTGGCCTTCAGGGGAAAATTACAAACTTTCCGCTGGGCCTCATGTGAAAACCGCTGTGGCAGGTGGGGTGGAACAGTCTCAGTGAGAATCCGTCGGAAAACCTGGCGACAGGCAGGAATTAATAAACACTTCTCGCGCAGAACCCGTGTGAGAGCCCCTCTGGCAGGCAAGGGTCAGTAAACAGCTATCCCTTGGACCCCCTGCGCGAATCCTTGTGGCAAGCAAGGTGGAAATCCTATGGTCTGCAGACCCTGGAGGATTCCTTATCTGATGAGGGCGGCGGTGATATCCATGGCCAAGCCTCGATTGGAGTTCCACCGGCCTCCAGACCCTGGATTCCTTATCTAAGGGCTCCTTATTCAATGCCCCCACCGTAGGCAGGGCGGGGAGGACATCAAAGTTGTCGGGCGGGCGTTTGAGCAAGCGGGCGGGATAGCAACCGAGCGGGCGGACCCTAACGGGCGGGTCGGGCTGGCGACGGACCTCAACGAACGAGCCTGGCGGGCGGGATATCGAAGCAGGTTGGCGCGTTCTAGCGATCGAGCGGGCGGACCCGATCGGTCGAGTCGGCGAGTGGACCATACGTCGGGCCGGACGTCGCGCCGGTCGGTGTGGGGGTGACTTGGGCGTCGGATGGAATGTGGGTGGGGGGGGGCGTCGGAGAGGACGTCGGGCTGGAGGATGGTGTCTTATGGGGCGCCGGGATCGTCGGGCTGGGAGCTGGCCGTCGCGATCGCGGTGAGCACCGCCTCTTTTTTCCGCCGGTACGTAAGCCGCTCGTGCATTGGATGGCCCTCTTGGCGGCGTCCTCGGTCTCGTAGTGCACGAGGCCCCAGCCATTTGGACTTCCTGGACAGGTCGGCCGCAACCCTACAGGACAGAGTTTTGCCGAAACGACCGAAAATGGCGTTGAGAGCCTCGTTGTCGACGCTGTGGTCCAAGTTGTCCGCGCGGATGTTCCCGACATCGGTCTTGCGCATGCTCTCGCCCCGTTCTGCCCACATCATGTGACGGTGCGATGGCCCATGTACGTGTGAGTAGTTGATGGTGCCAAGGGCCCTTCGGCGTCCTGCATGCTGTGGAAGTGGGCGTGCAGCCAGGGCGCTGACACAAGGCCCGCTTTGGGTTCTGGAGGAGCTCACTGTTACTTAGATCCTTGCATTGTTGCTCCTCGAGCGCTCCCCGTGCACTCGGACGCTGTTGGGGCCCGAAAGGGGCCTCGCTCCGTGTTCGCGGCTCCTGCTGCCGCGATAGGCATGGGTGGACGTAGCCGGCCCAGAGGAGTGGAGCATCTCGTGGAGCGTCTCCTCGCCGTCGCGTCGGGGCGCAGGCCGCCCTCGTTGGGGGAGGCGGCGGGCGTGAGCGTGGCGGGGTCGTCGAGCTGGGATCTGGCGGGGCCAGGAGGTCGCAGTGCAGGGTAGCGGGAGGTCGTGGGGGAGGTGGCGGTGTGGTGGTCTCGATCAGTGTGGGGGCTGGCGAGCTGGTAGTCGACGTGGGCATCAGCGTCGAGGCGGGCGTCGAAGTCCTGGTCGCCTCCCTCCTCGATGCCCTCGTTCTCCCCGTCCTCTGACTCAGCGGCCTTGTCTACGACCTGGGGCTCGGGCTGGGCCTCGGGCTGGGCCCTCGTCACAACCTCGGGCTGGGCGCGGTCGTCAGTGGGATTTATAACACAGCCGTCGGTCTGGGCGTCGGGGTTGGGGTTGGCCTGGACGTCGGGCTGGACGTTGGGCTGGACATCGGGCTGGACGGTGTGGCCATCTGTCGAGAGGCAGTTGCTGCTGCTGCTGTTGCTCCTACTCCTCCTCCTCCTCCTCCTCCTCCTCCTCCTCCTCCTCCCCCTCTCTCCTCCTACTCCTCCTCCTCAACTGTCCTCGTCCTCGTCCTCCTCCGCTTCCCTGACATGTTTTCCTGCGTTTTGCGCGCTGGAGGGGCGTCGCAGCGGGTCAGAGTTGGCCGCCAACCGCGAGATTTCCCTTGCCCTGAGATTGCTCGGAGACGCAGCCTACGCAACACAACATCTGAACAACTCCTCAACCTTGAGGATTTTACGAGAGGCTTTACGCCTGGTCATATCCCCGTGGGTTAAATCCAGCTCCGCAGCTAGTACGACTAGCCCAGTTTGCTATACGCATGTCGCAGTCACTCGTCATGCTCATTTCGATCGTCCTTCCATGTGAAGTTTACAGCAAGGTTGACCTAGCAAGAGATCCGAAATCTAAACAGTTGAGTTCACCAGTTCAGACGTAATCGTGCATAACTCCACAACTCCACACGACGGACCTCGAGGACCCCCCCAGGCAGCCCTTCTGGTCGTTCGAAGTCCTCCAGGAGCCCGTGAAACCCTGACCCTCCTGATTCTCCTGCCCCTCCCTTCTCTCGCTCATCCTCTCCCCCTCGTGGCCGGAGCGCCGCCGCCGAGCGGGCCAGGTCAGGGTGCTAAGGATGGGCCTCTGCCCCGAGAAGGAGCCTTACTCCCTCGAGACGCGCCTCCAGGAGCCCTCCCCCTCGGGTTGACCCAAAAGGAGGTCCAGCGACAGGGGGGTGGTGCGATAGATTTGGTGCAGTAGATTTGTGGGGTTGCAATACATTTGGGGCGTGCAATACATTTCGGGGCGAAAAAATGCATTGCTGCAGTTGCGCGTGCAAGATACGACTTGCAGTACGAAGCAATGCCATTCCTCCGGCGCAATACCTTTGCAACTTGCAACTCGCTTGCCCCCAATGTGTTGCACCACCCCCTTGCAGCTGGACCCCCTCCGGGGGTCACCGACATCCCCCGCCCTCCGGCCCCGCCCTCCGGCCCCTCCGGCCCCTGCAGCTCGGCACCTCTGGCGGCGGCCGCGGCGGG